AACTGCCATTGAACATGCTGAGTTTGTACAACAACAAATTGCTGACCGGGTCCGACGTGACAAATCGGCCGGTCCTTTCTCTGTCCAGCCTTTTCACCCATTTGTATGCTCTCCGCTCGGCGTAGTGCCCAAGAACAACGGGAAATTCCGCCTCATTCACCACCTGTCTTACCCTGACCGTATGTCTGTCAATGATGGAATAAACAAGGATTCGTTCTCCCTACATTATGTCACAGTGGACGATGCCATTGAGCTTCTGCAACGTCAAGGTACCGGTACCTTAATGGCAAAGCTCGACATACGCAATGCATTTCGACTGGTCCCTGGCGCACTCACTGCGTACCATTTGTTGGGTTTCCAGTGGCAGGGCCAATTCTACTATGACAAAGTACTGCCATTCGGGCTGTACTATTGTCCCTACAGTTAACAGTGAATAGGAGGTTCTCTATTTGGGGAGTCAACCTTGCTTACCAGGCTCCTCATACGGCTCATTCAGCCTCTCACACTCAGACGGCTCACTCAGCCTCTAAACACGGCTCACTCAGCCTCCGCAGCCGGGCCCTGCCCGGCTGCCTTCATACGGCTCACTCAGCCTCCGCAGCAGGGCCCTGCCCAGCTGCCATACACACACATTCACACAGCTCTAAGCTGTCACTCACTCGGAGCCTGGCAAAGCAATTGACAAACCCTCCTATTCCCCAAACTGGTTGCTCGTTGTGTGAGTGCGGCATGCAGATGCTTGTGTTAAGCGGCGATGGAGATGGATGAAATGTTCACGGAAATAGCTGATGTGCCCGCATTAGGGACAAAATAGTAGCCACGTTTTGGAAAACTTTCATGAATTCGTTATTGCGTTAGGATGATGGCAGAAAAGGTTCTCTTTATTGCTATCTCACAAACAATGCTGTGCTCACAATTATTTCGAGGATGGAGAAATTCAAGAGGAAGAAGATGTGTTCATTTCTCGTTGGCTGAAAGCAGTGAAATAAACGAGAAATAATATTCTTTGTAGATTTTTGCACGTGGTCATCGATGGGTGCGAGGGCACAGTGGCTGCTGGAAAAGTGTGCTGGCGCAGAGGGCTGTTCATTATTTTTCTTCTTGCCAGACAGAAAGTTGCCAGTCTCGGCCAAAATTTCGATTCGTTTGTAATAATTGTCCGATACAGAATGGGTTGACGTGGCTGTGTTGCAAGCGCCGTGCAGGCGGCCTCTGTCAGACGCAGAGGTAGTTGTAGGAGGAGAAGTACCCGTGACTTGTCTGTGTTCGAATTCCCCATCTCCGACTTAGTTGGTAACACCTCGTCGGAATACGAGACTGCAGTAGAAGAGCAAGTCCCCCGCGAAGCTGAGACACAGGCTCCGGTGTCACCTATAAATAGAATGCCGCATTCCTAGCTCATGGCGGAGAGGGAGCTGCTGGGGATGAAAATCCGGATGCTCGAAAGGAGTGTCGGTGTGCTGACAGCCCGTGGCAGGTCCCTGAAAAGGAAAAGAGCAAGGGATTCAGCAGAGTCAGGTTCGTCGTCATCATCATCATCGTCAAGATCTCCCTTCTCGGATTCGTCACGATCCTGGTCGAAGTCGCCAAAGCGGAACGCAAGGTCAGCCACCGGCGACATCGCGAGCTGGAAAACGACAAGCTACGCGAAGCAATTCGACCTGAATGCCGAGCTCCTGGATCTGCTCCACAATGTGAGGTCTTTTTAATCCAAGAAGAGGAGAAAGAAGGCAGCGAAAAAATATGACAGGCTGCTCAAGGAGAGGCAAGAGTGGCTTGTGATTGCGGAGAAACAAGGCCATCAGGTGTCAACATCCATCCAGGAAGGCAATCAGCTTATGGCACTGGTTGTGGGAGCCAGAACGCAGAAACGTCTGTAGGCAGGTAGCAGAGGTGGTGCGGGGCCAAAACATGCCACACCCAACCCATACCATGCAGGCGGCTGTGATGCTGCTTAGCCACCCACCTTTATCTATGCATGCGCCGATAGGCAATTGCCGCTCAGGGGTGTGCCACCGGTGTGGGCAGCCGGGTCATTATGTCAAGTTCTGTCCCCAGCGGGCTAACACCGCAGGCCAACCGGGTCAGCAAGCTGTGCCACATTGACATGACTGTGGGCTGGGGGTGTCATGTTGTTAAAATTGCTTCAGCTTAGTGGCATCCAGTGCAATCAGTGAGAAAGTTACATTATTTATTTATTTGTTTTATAATAGCAATCACTACACAGTTCTAGCGTTATAATTAGTTTCTCACCCGCCGTTGCACTTAGCTCTCACATCACTTCTATCGTCTCACCATCCCTCATTCTATGTTGGTACTTTATTTTGTTTTCGTAACACATTATTGTTATATATGTTAGGTACCTCCTCCCGTACCCTTTATAGCTGGCCTGCATGCACTTGCGTACTCACCTTTTGTCTCCTTTTGTTCCGTTGGCCTGTGTAGCTACTTGCGCGCCCATATTTGCCATAGCTACCCAGGCCCTTTATCTTGCCGTTCAGACTTGATCTTTTTCCCACTCTTCAATGTAGTCGTTTCGTTCGTCTTGGTCTCTTGTCTCGTCGTCTATAATGAATGTCGTTCCCCCAACCTACCTGTTCCCGTTGTAGTGTCTGAATAATATGTCGTCAGTCGTCCTTTCCCGATCTTAACATTAGTGGGGTTTTGCATTCCGAATTTCGGTTCGGCGCTCTTCGGTCATTTGTCGAACATCAAAATGTCGAATTTTCGCACCAACGTTTGTTTTGCAAGTCGAAAATGATGTGTTTTCATTTCGTGAGCCCTAGCATCAGCAACGTTCTCTCCCGTGCTCCTATTCTTGCTGATTCCAACGAACTTTGATCGCCCTAAGAGCCGAGGGCCAAACCTGTCTCCTCAGTCGCCTCAGAAAAACCAACTCCATGGCCAAGTCAAATTTTATGAGTATCGCCATAGTCTTTTCAGCTACACAGATGACGGTGAGGACACTCCAGGCGAAAGAGAGTAGACAAGCAGTGGAGGAGCAATCAGAGGTAGCTGACGACGCTGATGTCGCCAAAGACGCCTGTGAAGCGATGCCGAGATAAGAAATCTCTTTGAATAAATCACGCGCTAGCGCTCTTCTACATAAAATTCATCCGAAAAATATTTTCGGCAAAGTGAGCTTTTTCCGAACAAACATGCCGAATCTTCGCGTGCATTTTCGACCTCGCTCCCGCGTGCCGAATCTTTTTGCCGAATTTCGGAATGCAAAACCTCGCTATTGGCGCCCGATTATTGATCGACCCATGACCCTGAGATCATCCCATGCCCAGCCGTTCTCAACCGCCATTCGTGTCGTCTATGTCAACCTCGTCTCGTCCATGTCAGTCTCGTCTCTCCTACGCCAACCTCGTCTCGTCTCTATCAACCTCGTCTCTCCTACGCCAACCTTGTCTCGTCTATGTCAACCTCGTGTCGTTCAAGCCATGCAGGTCAGCTACCTTTCTCTATTTCTCTTTTTTGTATGCGTTCCTTCTTCGTCAAATTTATTTTCGTGAATTTTTTTGTAGTGTGTGGGCGCGCGGGTGTCCTTCATTAATATTAGGGGTCCGATCATGGTGAGCCACGCTCTCTAATTTATGTCGTATATTAAAGTGTAACTAGGCTCTATTAGCCGTGCAAAAAAATATTCATCAGAATACAATTCAAGTCCCTCGTCGAACTCCAATAGTTATTTTTTGTGCCATGTTTTGAAGGGGCGTTTGGGCCCGTTGTTATTGGCAATGTACACACTATAGTATGAGTAGTACAGGAACGTTGACGGTTGTAATGATCTGTAGTGCATTTTTTAGTGCACACATTTGTGAGGCCCGTGCGTTGTGTGTGTGTGTGTGTGCGTGTTTTCTCCTTCAGTCATTTTTTTTAATCTTTTTCTCTCTTTTTTTTCTCAGCGAGGACGCGGGATTTTTTCATGGAGGGGTGGTATGTTAGGTACCTCCTCCCGTACCTTTTCTAGCTGGCCTGCATGCACTTGCGTACTCACCTCAGTTTGTCTCCTTTTGTTCCGTTGGCCTGGGTAGCTACTTGCGCGCCCTTATTTGCCATAGCTACCCAGGCCCTTTATCTTGCCGTTCAGACTTGATCTTTTTCTCACTCTTCAATGTAGTCGTTTTGTTCGTCTTGGTCTCTTGTCTCGTCGTCTATAATGAATGTCGTTCCCCCAACCTACCTGTTCCCATTGTAATGCCTGATTAATAAGTCGTCAGTCGTCCTTTCCCGATCTTAACATATATTTAATCATTGTTCACCATGGGTTACGCTTCAGTCACAACTTTCCACTGATGAATGTGAGAAGAAAATAAATTTTTGTAAACTTTCATGACTTCTTTGTAGTGTGGCGATGACAGCAGAATTTGTTCTCTTTATTGCTATTATAAAATTGTTGTCTCCACGTCGATTATTTGCATTTATTTGTTTGTGTTTATATAGGCACGTTGTGCTTCAGCTCCAGTGCCCTGAGCACTGGAGATTGCGCAGATTGCGCAGGCAATCTGTGAATTCTGGAATTCTCAGGTTACGCAAATTCTCAGATTGCGTGGAACAGACACATTATACTATGATAATAATTATGTGATTAATTTTTTTCTCGGAGAGTATACAAGCTGCCGAAACCACCACGCCACATAAAACCGGTTGGATGTGGGAGCGTATCGAAGTTGATATTTACCATTATGCTCAAAGTGCAGGTTGCCTCAGTTAGAACGATCACAAATTCTATGCATGTGCAGCGTACATGAAGTGAGACCACTTGAAGTGCTGAGATGCATAACCCGCGAAATACTTTTCATCACTTTTCGGACAATGGCTAAACAAGGACTTGTTTTATGTGTGGTTTGTATCTAAATCCAAATTTGGGTTCCAGTTTTGAGCTGGTTCGAGTCAGATTTTGGATTAGAAATTTTGCCTGCGGGTTCTCCAGAAGAATAGTGAGCACTTATGTGATTAACTGGTTTGAGGGTGTACTTATGTGATTGTGCATCTCAGGTCTTCACTTGCCTTCCTTGGAGAGCTGAGCTGTAGGCAACGCTATAGGTCCCATCGCCTAGATCGGAGCACTCGCTGCGGACCGTGTTAGTACTACCAGACGCACTGCAGGTTCTCTCGAGCAACGAATGGTGCGATTGGCTGAGGCCGGACGACAGGGAAAAGTCAGTGAACGACGGGCTGTGCAGTGTGGACAGCGACGACTCGCTTGAATTTATGCTCAACATCCTGCAATGTAATGAAAAACCGTGACAATAAAGAACAACACAGAAACACACACACACACATACACACCCACATGCACAAGCGCAGCAACACACACACACACACACACACACACACACACACACACACACACACACACACACACACACACACACACACACGCAAGCACGCACACACACACACACACACACACACACACACACACACACACACACACACCCATGCACGCACACACACACACACACACACCTTGACATTGACCTTGATACATGTTGCCTTGATAGGTTACACGGTCCCCGTCAGGGGAGACATGGACACACACACACACACACACACACACACTCGCAAATCAAACAGCGTGTAGGTAAAAAATTAGCAAATTCAATGTTGGCGAAACGCATTCCTTATTAAGGGTTGTAGAGCTGTTGCACACAAATTGCATATCCATGCGGGATAGCAATCTTGGCTCCAATACACACACAGACACATACATGCACGCATGCACAAACCCACACCCCCCCCCCCCCCACACACACACACACACATACATGCACAAACCCACATCCCCCCTCCCCCACACACACACACATACATGCACAAACCCACATCCCCCCCCCCCCACACACACACATACATGCACAAACCCACATCCCCTCCCCCCCACACACACACATACATGCACAAACCCACATCCCCCCCCCCCCCCCACACACACACATACATGCACAAACCCACATCCCCCCCCCCCCCCCCCCCACACACACACATACATGCACAAACCCACATCCCCCCCCCCCCCCCCCACACACACACATACATGCACAAACCCACATCCCCCCCCCCCCCCCCCCACACACACACACATACATGCACAAACCCACATTCCCCCCCCCCCCCCCCACACACACAGATACATGCACAAACCCACATCCCCCCCCCCCCACACACACACACACACATACATGCACAAACCCACATCCCCCCCCCCCCCACACACACACACATACATGCACAAACCCACATCCCCCCCCCCCCCACACACACACACACATACATGCACAAACCCACATCCCCCCCCCCCCCCACACACACACACATACATGCACAAACCCACATCCCCCCCCCCCCACACACACACACCTACATGCACAAACCCACATCCCCCCCCCCCCCCCCACACACACACACATACATGCACAAACCCACATCCCCCCCCCCCCCACACACACACATACATGCACAAACCCACATCCCCCCCCCACGCACACACACATACATGCACAAACCCACATCCCCCCCCCACACACACACACACATACATGCACAAACCCCCCCCCCCCCCCACACACACACATACATGCACAAACCCACATCCCCCCCCCCACACACACACACATACATGCACAAACCCACATCCCCCCCCCCCCCCCACACACACAGATACA